TATATATATATATATATATATATATATATGTATATGTGTATATATATGTGTGTGTGTGTGTGTGTGTGTGTGTAAAGATGTTTTCTTGGCAAATGCACTCATACCAAAAGTGTATGAATTTCTCAATTGTCACTTTTAGTGTTCACTCTCTTTAGGGATAAATAAAAAACACAACTTCAAATCTAAATAAATAAAAAGTAAAGAGGTAAAGGAGGACTTGTTGTTTGGAACCACATGTGAGTGGATTAAATGATGTGAGTAGGATATCTTCCATCTTGATCAGCAGTTGTGATGTTTCTCATTCATGTCCGTGTTTGAGTCATCGCCACGTGAAGCTGCTGAGAAGGCGTGTGGACAATCGTCGGCCCTCACATGTGAGTTTACGAACATACATTTAACCTGTGAGGAAAGAACTGTGCAGCAACAGCATTATCATTTGAGTTATCAAATGTCCCTCCCTGCTGGGTGGTGGATCCCTGCTGCTCATCAGTGACACCTGAAGAAACGAAGCCGGGACTGAAGCTGCAGCTTCGTCTTGTTGGACACGAACAAAACAAAACGGCTGCCGAGTCGTTTTCTTCTTTGAACTAAAACCAAACGCAGATGTTTTTCTTCGTAGAGTCTCAGTGATGAAAGTGAACTTGTCTTTTCATTCATGTTGGACAGGAGGATCTGTAGGACAATCAAAACCGCTCCAGGCGTTTCTCTAATCCATGGACACAATAATTCTATAAAAGTCTTTCAGCTGATCCTAAACACAAAATCTACTTGTTGCAAAGAGAGAGATCAACTGTCTACTTTCACTTCTGTGCAGAATTTAAAATGTTGCAGGAGCTCTCAGCTGAGCTCCATTATATTAACGGTTTATGTCTCTATATTCTCCAGAGCCCTTTGCTCTCAGATGGCAGGTTTACTCGTGATTCCTAGTTTCTAAAGGGAGAACTGTCCTGTGGCACCAACGTACATTCTTATCTCCATGACAGTGAAACGATTAAGTCGAACACTTCCCGTTGTAAAGTCCATCAGTTTTCACCTCAGTCAGTCTGAAGTGTGTGTTCCTCATGGCCATGTTTTGGTGTCCTACAGTTTGTTTTGTTGTAATGGTTGCCATGTCAGCCTTTTTGTTTACTTTCTTTAAATAAATCCTTGAGTTTTTATTTGAGCACATGTCAGTCTACGTTCTTGAGGCCAACGCTCCTGAAACGCTGAGTTCCTCATGTTTTTGGTGACTTCCTGTCTAACTTTGTTTTTCACATGAGGGATCTTGATGGAGCCCGTAGGATTCAAAATGTGACGGATGGTGGACCAGAAACCTTGGAGTGCAGCTTGAATGGTTTTGGATCCTACCACACACACTATCCCACTGATCAACCTGGGGTCGCATTTCCTCTTGCATCCACACCCTGAGAGGTTGTCTACGGTCTCTTGAAGCTTGTGGTTTCTAACAACACGTGCAGCTGTGGTCAGAGGATCGTGAAGCTGCAGTGTTTAACGTTAACATGAACATCTAGAATCTTCTGTCTGAGCTCCTCACAGCTGTTTGGTTTCTCTGCTCCGTGTTCAGTTGGTGAACAGAACCGACCCAAACCCCCGGAGGCGGCTCGTTCCCTTCAAAGAGGCTGAAGGAAATAATAAAGACAAAAAACAAGTGGACTTTATGTTGTAGCTGAAGATGTTTCACTTCTCACGTGAGGAGCTTTCTCAGTTCTAAGGAGAGGGAGCGTGAAAACTGAGAAACAAAGTCCAGATGTTTTTTGTCTTTAACCTTGTTTTGGACGTCCTGGATGACTGAGGATCTTCACCAGCTGAAGGAAACTTAAAGCCTTCTGATAAATGGCCTCTTCTCAAATCAACTATTTTAACAGATCTTTGTGAAATAAACACTTTGTTCCTTTTGACCATATTTCGTTTAGTCTCGACACACTGAAGGTCTGAGGATAAACGTTAAGACAGCAGCTTTGAACTGAAGCACTGCTCATAAGAAATGGAGATTTGAGACCAACAAACTGATCCACGTGGAAACCGGTCACAGAAAGTTGGACTTTTTATGTCACAGAACTGTCATTTGATGTGTTTAACATTTGTACACAAACTCTCCCAGAGTGCAGAGTACACACACCCAATCCCCCGTCGACTTGTGCCGTACCTGAGCTCTGACATGTTTTCTCAAATGAAAGCCTCATTTTCATGTTTCTCCTAAGAAACACTACAGAAACATAAATATCATTTGTGACTATCAGAACCTTCTGTCAGGGAATTTTGGTCAAGGTTTATGGATGTTTATAACTCCTGTCTGAGAACGTTAACTGCCCGTGGACCGTGTGTTGGAGTCCGCAGAGAGGGCTGAATGAGGAACTGATGTGATCCTGCACGTGCAGCTGGATGGCCAAGGACATCAGTCTGCTGTCTGTGACAGCGGACACGATTATAAAAAGTATTGCTGCACGCTGCCCGAGGCACATTCTTCATGCTGGGCTCCATGAACTCCTGCACGTGTGTCACCTGTGGTGAAGTCTGGCCTCACAGTAAAACCAGTTAAAATCTTCTTGTGTCCTCTGGTGTGGCTTCTTTGAGTAAATAAGATGAACAGAGGATTTTTTGTTTAGTCAAGGCCTTTTTTTAATTAGTTTTTGTTTTTTAAAACGAGAACAGATTATATAAAAAGAACCCCTCCCCCCACACTGGATCAGCCACATAATGTGGTCTTTACATATTTTCAACATGTGACACAAAAGGTTGCCAGGTGTCCCAAATTCTTTTTGCAGAGCCCTTCAAGGCATGAAGAGCATCTTTTTATCAAACACCTTCGATCTGAGATTATTTTAGTTCAACGTGGTTTGTGGGACAGATGGAGCCGCTTCATGCTGGTTCCTGTTTCACATTACTGAGTCCACTGGGTGTGACTCATACAACAGAGTGGGGTGGGTGGGGGAGTGGACAGGTAAAGTTACCTGCAGCCCCACCCTCGTGTGTCAGTGCAGCCCGTGTCCAGCTGAAGACGACTTCTAACAGCAGCTGAAGGTGAGTTGAGCTGTTTGTCATTAATCGAACGTTCAGGTGAAACACCTGAGCAGCAGCTCCACTTTGTTCCTCCTCCATCTGTCTGCAGCTGTTCTCACCTGGAGGGAAAGACTCTGCGTTTAAAGACACCAGAACTGCTTAATCAAGGTAATATTACCTGCCCGCAGGACGCGCTCCTCCGAGGTTCAGGTGTCTCTTTTCCCTCTGGAGTTTCATTGTTTCCCCTCTGAAGGTTTTGTGAAGAAACACTTTGTGTTGCTCAGAAACAAACACCGTAGCTTTGACCTGTAAACAACAAACAACAGATACGTAAACAACAAACAACAGATAAGTACACAACAAACAACAGATAAGTAAACAACAAACAACAGATAAGTAAACAACAAACAACAGATAAGTAAACAGCAGAGCTGATGTTCTTGGTTCTTCTGTTTGGAAACAGCAGAAAAAGATCAACAGAGAACTAAAAACTCGAGTATAATCTACATAAATGCAGTTCAGGGTGCTGTTGAGAGAATAAAACAAAGTTTGAGGAAATAATTTGAGTCCAAAAACTGCACAGAACCAGAAACTAACAACAATCTGAGGAAGTATCTATTTTTGTTGCTGTATCTTTTAAACTCCTTTACTTTTTTTAATTCATAATATTAAGATTTAGTTTCATGCCTTTGTCTTTCTCTTTCCTATTTTGACAGGAAAACGTGGCTCATTAATTTACCATATTCCTCTTTAATGGAAACACTTAATTTAAAAACATCTCATTGTTCTGCTGTTGCCTTTTTTTCTCAGAACCAGTTAGTTTTGAGCCTCTGTCATCTTCAGCCAATCGGCTTTGAGCCTCTGTCAT